TTGGAATACTAGCCAAATGCTCTGCCAACTGAGCTACGCGGTCAGGTCGGTTCGAGTATGTGATATTTCGGAACCGAATCTAGTTCCTTCGATTCAATGCAATCTAGTAATCATGATTTTTTCTGTGTTGGTGTTATGTACTGTGTACATACTAACACCAACACAGAAAACATCATGATTACTAGATTGCATGATTGATATCGAAGGAACTATAGATTCCGTTCCGAAATATCACATACTCGAACCGACATGAACCGCGTAGCTCAGTTGGCAGAGCAATGGGCTAGTATTCCAAAGGTCGTAGGTTCGATTCCCACCGTGGCCAGGCATATTTGTCAAGCTTGCCCGGTGACAGCGGTGTGGCCTTATAATACACTTAGAGTAACATCACAAATATAGTACTTAAACCATTAACAACAAATACTAAATTCCTCTTGACAGCCTTTTAAATATCAGTCGGTCATGGACATTGTCCGACCCATTCGTGAAATTGTCCGACGTAGTGAGGAAACTACTGGCACTGGACATGCATGCATCTGTGCGACCTAAGTGAAACTGTGGTTTATTGTTTGTCCGACCCGAGTGTATATTGGTGTCCGACCGAACAGTAGCTTTGTCCAACGTAAATCGGCAAAATGTACCCTATAGTAACTGTAGAGGCTCGTTGCTATAAATAGAGAATCAGGGTAATGTATAAAAGGTTAACTGGGAATGTTGTTTTAATGTAATTGAGCGCTGGGTGGCGAGCAAAATGGTGAAGTAAAAAGTTGTCGAAGTTTTACTGCTGTTATAGGCAAGCAAGTAGACAAATTATTTAATACGTTTACAACATTTACTGTTCGGAATTAATAAATTGTGCTGATATTATTAGTATTAATGTATGTCATTCAGACTTATTCCTGAGCCAAACTGAAGTGAAGGTCATCGGACATCATCACGCATGTCCGACCCAAACTCACAGTCATCGGACATTTTGTCAGACGGCCCTGTAAAAGATATTTCAAGGCCCGCTCGACAAGTATATGGATTAATTAACAGCGATATGGCCAGTAGTCTGATTAACCTACAGTATTAGTAAGAGTTAATTACCAAGAACGAGGTTTCTTAGCGAGATCAAGCCGAGGGGCGTGACCCGAAGAAAGCGTCCCGAGGGTGGTAGACCCGAGGACGCTTTCTGAGGGCTATGCTCCCGAGGGATGTATCTCGCTAAGAAACCGACGTTCGAAGTTCAAATTTGTAAGGATTGAAAACAATGAATGCGGTCAGGAAACTGACGAAATCTTCAGAAATTGAACTATCGTTGTTGAGCTAAAATATTTAAATTTGGCAAAAGGCAAGGTGTCGTTTTTGCTGACATACTTTGTGAAAATTAGATTCTTTGGCCCTGAAAAGATTTGTTTATAACACAAAGTATTTTGAAGCATGCAGAAAAAAACTTAAACGGTAGAATTTATAGACCAATTTCTGTTTGGTGATGGGGAATCGGAACAGCCGGCTGTAAAAGAATCAGCAGTGCGAAATGTAAACGAAAAGCAGCAAGGAGAGTACGTGGTTAAATCAAACCTGAAAATGTGCAACAAAATTTGTTTGATGGCATTATCTGTTACAAGTTGCCAACTGACATTTTCGTATAGAGTATATGCATTAATTAAGAAAGTATAGTATGATTTTCATAGCTAATTTTGAGCTAGCTAATAACGCGCCAATTGATGTTGATATATAGTTACTATTTTGCGAACTTTAATTAAGCGCTAGCTCCTTTAGCTCAAAACTTGCTTGAAAATTCACACTATACAGGGTGTATAAAAAAAAACTGAACAGATTTGAAATTGCTCTCAATTTCGCAAAACACCTATTTGTATCCGGTTTTTTATATATATAGCTTCTTTGGGTACTTATAATGTAGAATAATAAAAAAAATTTCTCGAACTCAAATTTTGTGAACCAGGGGGGTGTGTCTTTTCCAACAAACTAAAAATGGCTCGCGCACAAAATTTAAAAGCTGTAATCATATTTTGAGTTAATAGATGGAAACTTTGCCGGGTTTTTAATTACTGTACAAAATTTCAGACAATTTGGTTTAGTTTAAGCCCTTTAACTATTCATTTTGTTCTAAAAAATCAACCCTTCGCATGCTTAATTATGCCTTTACCTAATTTGCATATTGCTGACATATGCAAATTAGGCAAATGCATTAATTAAGCATGCAAATAGCTGATTTTTACTAAAAAATGTAACTTTGCGTGAATAGTTAAGGGGCTTAAACTAAACCAAATTGTCTGAAATTTTGTACAGTAATTAAAAACCCGACAAATTTTCCATCTATTAACTCAAAATATGATTGCAGCTTTTAAATTTTGTGCGCGAGCCATTTTTAGTTTGTTGGAAAAGACACCCCCCCTGGTTCACATAATTTGAGTTCGAGAATTTTTTTTCATTATTCTACATTATAAATACCCAAAGAAGCTATATATATAAAAAAACGGATACAAATAGTTGTTTTGCGAAATCGAGAGCAATTTCAAATCTGTTCAGTTTTTTTTTATACACCCTGTATATATACTCGTTTAAATATCTTATATATATACTTTCCTGTGATCTTTCTAATGGTATAGAATATTTTTTTTTAAAGTGAACTTGAAATTTTGTATTTTCAGTCAACATAGTCACTTTATTAAAATTTTAAAATCTGAAATTTTCAACTGTATTCATATACAACTGGCTTCATAGCCAAAATGAGAGGTGCCAACATATATAGTCTTGTTCACCAATGTGTGTGACAGTGCGGGCTATATAAGAAAATGCCAGTTAGGCGGCTTGTAAAAAAAATGCCATCAGAGTGTACCTTTCAGAATCGCCCGTCATCTAATTTTAGTTTCTGATGCGGAGCTTGAGAAAAAAATTATGAGCGCATACCTGACGGCTTGAAATGCAAGAAAAGGGGTACTTTAATAACTGCACATTTAACTTAACTTCAATTCTAATTTAACAGTTTGTTTGAGTTTGTGACAAATAGTGTAGGCCACAACTCACAAGTGTAGCCTACGTATTCTAAGAGTTGAGTGTTATTTTGTGTTGTGTGACAGTAAAGAGTACAGATTTTGATTGCTTTTGTTTGTCTTTTTTTAAGGTATTATCTTATAAAACCCTATTTTGCCGGGGTTTATCTGTATAAAACCCACAGAAACTGGATTTTATACAAATAAACCGTAAATATTTAATTAATTATCTATTCTATTCATCAACCCCTCTTCCTGGGGAGATATCAAAACCCTCTCCTTGCTTTTAGATTCGTACCCAAACTAAATTAAACCCTATTGAGAACAATAGAATCCGCACAAATTTGAACTAAGAGTTGTTACTGTCTATACTGTAGTTTGCTGTTGATATACGTCGTATAAGGTCTCTAATGAGTTTATATGTTGCCATTGCATGTTATTGCCTTTAATCTATAATTATTATATTGTGCATCGCCGGAAGATCGGGAAAATGCGAACAAGTTTACTAGACTTAATTATAGTCTATGACTATGTATTATAATTTATAGATGGCTCACCGGTGCTATGTTTAGTGAGAACATCCAGAACGTTATTTTGTTTATGACGTTCTGGATACCCATGTTTGCATTCCTTAGCAACTGAGTGGTTCACAAACACCAACAGTTCCGTCTTAACTGCCACTTTCGGAATCTCTAACTGCGTGGGTAGGTAACCATGGTAACAATCTTTTCATTCAAACAGTGTATTCAAACAGAATAGTTGGTGTGTAGCCAACAAACAAAACAAACATATATAAAGCAATCTTTCGCACGATTAAGTTTCAAGTGAATTTCTTCAAGTTTCAAAGATCGATGTACCATATATACTATACCATGTATATATAGGTATGTATACAAATTCGTTGATCTGCATTTTTTTATGCAATTAAGTGTGAAGAGTGTTTGCTACGCCTGATTGTAATGCAGTGAAGGTGGAGTTCATTAATAATATGAAATGTAAATTAGCTAGTCATGAGACTCTCTTGTGAAGCTCACGTCAACATTCCTTACGAATTTGGCTGTCACGACCGAAGCGAGTATAACCATGCATTTTATCCCTTTTTAGAAGTCTTATTTAATTGTAAATTACTCGAACCTTTCAAATTAATATCTAACTTTAAATCAGCGAGTACAATATAAGCGAGTATACAATATACTGTACCGTAGGATTATACAGATTATAACTAATTTATCATTTAATTTGGCGGCTTTTAATCAGGCCATGCTGAAAGGTTTGTATCAAGCCAGTGGCACGAAGCCATGACAGTTGGCAGCACGTAGCCTGCGTAGCATCCAGGCGGTTTTGGGGGGAGGACTTGCGGTTCTTTATAGTTCTCAACAGTATCGAGTTTCTAAGTTAAAACGTAGTTGCAACATTGATTTATCAAACCCATGACTTCATACCAGATACCTTCTAGCGCAATTTCAATTCCTTCGAATTTCATATTCTTTAAAACTATAAAAGCCTCTGCGGAGGAGAGAATATCAAACCTTTATTTTGTTAATCTACAGCTTGAAATGCAACCTCGTACCCAGACTCTTTCCACTATGCCTGGGTAAGACTTTGCTTGAAATGTCCCCTGCAACAATGTCCGACTGCATGCCAACTCTCATCCTCGATTGACTGGGCCTGTCTTTAGGGCCTGTCTCGCAACTGTACTGGTCTGAACTGACATGGGAGCTCTGACATGGGAGCTAAATGCCAAAATGTCAGCTTCATTCACTCACTGACTTAGTCTTCGGACGTGCATAGTCAGAATCTGGAATTCGGCTGTTAGTCTTGAATAATCTTTAGCTTATCTCAGTTTCAAATAGGTTGAATTGAGGAACATTCCAGGATAAAAATAAGTTGGGTTTTAAAAAGAAATTCTATGTAAGCTTAGGTCGTAAGTGGTCGTAGAGGAAAAACTGGAACAAAATGACTTAGAAACTTGACGTCGACGTAGTTTTTCCTTCTTGGTGACGCGTTTTACGCCCCGGACAGAATATTGGACTGTGGAAATGGGAAATACACACCTTAACTTTCTTGTTTCTCTACAAAGCAAACGGGTTTAAAATTTCTAAAATTCATCCTCTATGACTACTTTTTGTTCGTTCCCCATCGAGATAAAAGTCTGAAATGGGGCCGGAGTTTTATACATGGTCATGGCATTCAGCACGCGACCTTTGACCACCCAAATTTTTTCCTCATTGTCGTTCGACGGCGTCCGGTCTCGTGAAGACACCTTTATTTCCGGTAACACGAAGTGAACCAATAGGAGTGCGCTAAATTTCAAATTTAATTTTGGCGCCCAAAACATAAGTGTTGGGCGGTGACGTCACTGGGCGGACTTTATTGTGTATACACAGCAAATTTTTATATATCGTCAAACGCAGCGAAAAATGGAGAAGATGTTTTGTTAGAGCAATGAATTTTTGAATTCTCTTTGTATATTTTATAAGTTATGTGTAGAAAGATGGCCAGACAGTGAATGATGCCAAGACAGTCGTATATTTCCGAAACTGAACAATTTGCAAGGATAGAAGGTAATATATTTTGTTATGTAAATATGCGAAGCTTTCTTGCTTTGACAGCTGTGAACGTCAAAAGAATTGCCCTGTATTCTTTTGCAGCATTACTCAAACAGACAGGCTTTTAGGTTATTAACTCTTTCAGTTGAACTAGGTAGTTCTTCGTCCAGCTAAACTAACAAGCCGGCTTCAAATTGAGTACGTTTCAAGATCGCAATATTTAGCGACGAAAATATTCTTATCGCTTGTATACGTGGTCGAAACTGGGTCACGAACAATACAAGCCTTCGATTAAACCCTTGGAGTTGTTAATATTGTATTCTCAAGCTTAAAAGAGAGTACTAATTCCCCAAAAAACCGAAGCATTCACCATTCGTAAAACGAAAACGAATGTTTTATATTGCAGTATATATCTGTCTTCGATTTGAAATGATTAAACATTGACCCGGTTAATTCGGTCCTTGTTTACGTTTGGCAGAATTTTTATATTCGCTTTATCTTGCCTTGTGGATTGTTTAAAATGTTAGCATTTATACATTCTATAGTATCAATTGAGTCAGTTAAATATACAATTGTGAAATTATTTTGCAAGAAATATCAATCGTATTGCGTCGTAATAAAAACAAATTTCTCAGCAGGTCGGGTTCATAGGATCTTGACAAAGTCCTGGCATAGTTCTAGAATTTCATTTCGCAGCATTTTTTTTTACTTAATTTTGTTAATAATGATACATACGAGAAAAGGGTCTTCCTATAAAATTAGGAAGAACGACTTTTTAATGCTCAATTCTCAAGGGAAATATCGCGCTCAGAACTCCCGGTTCCGACTTTTGTTTACAACAAAGGCAATATCTCGTGAGAATATCCCGAAATATATATAATGAAAGACGTGCCTTTCATCAAACACGAAACGAATTTGGATAGATTTTGTTGCCCTAAAGTTAAATAGGGATTATGGAGGGTATATACATTGTGCATGACACTTTTCTAGTATTACACTGTGTTAATGTTAATATTTATAGTATAAAAATACAGTAGCTGACATTTGTCATGCATGGGGTATTCACAGAATCACAGTACCACAGTATAAAGCAGTTGTTCATAGCGGATTTGATATCAATATCATTAGAGAAATTTATTGATTTACAACATATACATAAGGGTGTGTGTCTAATTTGCACAGTATTTATAATACATGTTCAAAACTGCCTATTGTACCTTATTTGAGCAGGTTTCTGCTTGCAAATATTACAACTGCTCTGCAGGGGTGGAGAGTGGGTGGGTATATTAGGAATGCATGATTTTCTTTGAAAATTTTTTGGTCAATTTACATAAAGACAACCTCAATTTTAAATAGAAATATCCAGATCGAAATCCTAATCCATTCTGTTAATCCAGTATTGCATACTTGTTATGTAAGATTATTTCATGATGGTAATTTTTTTTTTATATATATTTTTTGCCCAAAATATTACATTTACAAGGAATAGATATATATAAGAAATGGGCTAGGAGCCTACTAGAAACCACATGGCTTTTTTTAGGCCCCTAGGTTAATTATTTAAGCTATATCAATAAATATAAGCTTGTGTCAGTTCAAGTGTTTTTCAGAGAATTAGTAAGGAAAAGAAGAATTTATATAATACATATGAATATATATAATTATATTTACAAAAACATGTTATATTGTTAAATCTAGTTGTAAAAAGTACTTTTTAATTATTGATTTGAAGGAAGCATAAGACCTAGGTTCTTTATTTTTTGTGGGAAGATTATTCCACACATCTATGCCTTTATCGGCAAGAGTATGTTTGGTATAGTTTGTTCTACAGGGTGTATCAAAAAAAGTAAGACAATTCTCAATTCCACAATTCTGTTAATGAAATGTAATTTCTGCTATATATGGATTGCTTGAGTTCTTAAATTATGGAAAATATAAAAAAATTTGAAAATAGTAAATTTTGCTATCCAGGAGGGTGGTCAACTTTTGCTCCCCTAAAAGTGGCTTGCGCACGGATATAACAAACGGTATTCTTTATTTGAGTTCATATATGAAAAGTTCGCTATTTGTTGCATTTATGATAAAATTTCGGCAGGATTTTACCGAGTACAAATCCTCCGAAAAGCCTATGAAAACGTTACATTTTTCTCTGTTGGTGCTGTTCTTGCTTCATTATGAATTCATTTTACTCCCATGAGAGTTCCGTGGAATTTCCATGGAATTTGTGCTTTCGAGTTGTTTGTGCTG